TCTTTCCAGGTTAAAGGGTTTTGTTAATCTGATGCTCTTCTTCTCCCCACCTTGCTATAGTCACCATACCCAAAATACCAGCTGGCCTTTCACACACTGGCCCAGCACTGAATCCAGGGATACTGGGCAGGGTGCTCACCCCCAGTTCCTTACTGGTTTTCTTTTTTCACCTCTAGGTTATGCCCCTAATGACATGCCCGTGAAGGCGAAGCGCAGCACCTACAACTACAGCCTGCCCATCACTGTCAAGAAGCAAGGTATGCTGGGCCAGCAGAAGGGCTCTCTGGCTCTGCTGCTTCTCTGTTTACCCCATCCTAGGCACAGCTGAAGGGTCTCTGTGTTCTAGCCAAGCCAAAATTGGAGTTTTATTTCTGGTTATAGCACAGTGCTGCTGTTCAGCCAGTGCAAGTCTGCTGCTGGGAAGTGTTGTGAGACTCTTGGGTGTGTGTCTGGCTGAGCCACACTGTTAGCAGGCAGAAGGGAGTTCTGCAGGCAACACTGTGGGGATTCAGCATTTGCTTCTGCTCAGGGATAGTGCAGGGTAAAGGAGTTGTTTTCTTTGTCAAGGGAGAATAGAAAAGATTAAAATTATGAACAAATAGGCTGCTGAAAAAGCTACAAAACTCAGCCCTTTCCTGTGCCTTTCCAGTAACATCTCTGAAGGACAAGCAGTGCATGCTCAGTTCCTGGGTTGGTCTGGTTTCTGCTGACCAGCTATCCCTGCTTAGTCCATAGCCAGGGCTAAACTACAGCAGTTGCTCTGTCACCCAGTGACCTCTCCCAAGCCAGGAAGGGGCATGGGGAAAAGGAGAGGAGACCTACAGGTTGAAATGAAAATGATTTTAACAAAACAGCAAAACTAGTATCAAGATGAAGTATAAAAAATTATACTCAGCCCAGTGCAGCAGTAAACAGGAAAGCAGTCCTCAGGAGAAGCATGGTGAGCAAATCCTTCCAGGAATGGGGAGAAGGAAGAGGAGGAGCCCCATCCTCAGCAAACTTCCCCCTTTAATAATGAGTGTGATGTTTATGGTCTGGGACAAACCTGGAGCCAACTCAGGTCAGCTGCCCTGGCTGACTCCAAATTACTAATGGCCTGCAGACCAGGGCTGGCCCAGAACTCTGTCCCAGCCAAAGCAGGGCACCAGCAGAGCTGAACCAACACAGAGAAGTGACAGTACAGTGAAGGATGTCCCTTACTGGGGCTTTTTTTTTGTCTTTTCAGTAAGTCATACGGTCAGTGTCCATGATCTGAAACAGGGGCTTGGTACATCTGGTACATCTGGTGCAAAGAAGCCTGCCTCCAGCAGGTATAAACTGAAGGTAAGCATTGCTCTCTTTTACCAAAATCTTGAAAAAGCTAAGTGAAAAGGGATGTTTCTTGTTTTGTCAGCCATTAAGGGGCAGTTGTGAGTTGATGTGCTGAGGTGTGCCTGGGAAGCTTCTGGTTGTACCTGTCACTGCAGCACTTCAGCTGCTCTGCACTGAAGTTGTCTTAACTGCTGCACAATGGGATTGGTACTCTCAGCCCTAGCCTTAAATACAGTGAGCATTTTGTGTCACTTGTTAACACTGGAACATAATGGGCAGTGAGGTGCAAAAAAATCACCGTGTGTGACTCAGGTCATCCTGCGGGCAAAATAAATACTTAAGCAGGAGTCTTTTCTTCTTTTTGTTGGAATGACACCTGTGACCTGCTGTTACTCAGTGGCATGCTGCAGGCAGAGCTGCAGTTTGGAGGGATGCAGTGTGTTCTCTGCACAGCTCCACTCTTGTGTCAGTGGCTGCAGTGAAATTCTGCTGTGTTCCCCATTCAGTTTTATCTTTTGCCCTACGCAGACCTATGCCTTGGAACTGATTTGTGTTGGGAGTGTCTTGCTCTTGACTCAGCTCATTGGAATTACTTTTCAGTTATGCCAGAGCTGTGCTGTTACAGCATCAAATGCACATTAATCCTGCCCTGCTTTCCTCCTCCCAGGAATCTGTCTACATTTTCCGAGAAGGAGCGTTACCCCCCTATCGGCAGATGTTCTACCAGCTCTGTGACTTGAATGTGGAAAGGTATTGCACACTGGCAGTCTCCTGTTAGAGCTAGACTACAAAGCCTCCTGTTTATATCCAGTCCATCCCCTCTCTCTCCTTGACCAGACACTTAAGAGGTGTTTAGCTTCTGAATAAAAATAGAACAGCCTTTTCCCACGTGAACTTCCTTTCCTATACGACCGTTACCTGAATGACAAAATACACAGCTCCAACTCAATGCAGTAAAATGGAAGGAAGCCATAGCCTGTCTCATTTGAAGCCCACATGGGCAGGTAGAAGGCTGATGTTTCCCCTGTGCTGCCTTTTAGCCTGCAGAAGATCATCGGCCGGAATGACGGCACGGAGTCGGAGTGCACGGAGCGGGACGGGTGGTGCCTCCCAAAGACCAGCGATGAGCTGCGAGACACCATGTCTCTGATGATAAAGCAGATAATCAGATCCACGAGACCTGGTAAGGCTGCTTCTGACCAGCACGGTGTATCACTACCTGGCTGCATGCTGCTACAGTGTGTTGCCACCTTTCTGATTGTGTTGGGAGTTCGTGGGCAGAGTGAGGACACTGCTGACAGCTCTGGGCCAGTAGGGTCACTGTATTTGCCTCCTGCTTTGTGCTGCATCTGGTGGCCTTGGTGTTGTAGCTCATTACAGCCTGTGAGCTGAGGCTGTTGTCCTGCAGTTTGAACACTGGGACTAGGAGGGGATTGGAGTAAAGGTTTTCTGTCTCCTCTTCCTGGTATTGCAGCCTTCAGGTTTCAGTGTTTGCCCAGTGATAATCAAGATCTTACCCTTACTGATCTATCTATCTGTTAGTGGCATTTTACTTTGTACTGATGACATTAATTGAAGAAGAGGTGAGGAAGTTACTCTCTCATGATGCTGGGCCAAAGCAGTTTCCCAGTGGATTGGGTCAGGGTCAGCTGGAAGCACAGCACTCCAGAGGCTGTTCTAGTGTGCCTGGAGTATGGAAACACTGCTTTGGGCTTGATTAGACTCTATGAGGAGGTGCAGTATTAGCTGTGACCCTCCAGCTTCTGCCTTCTCTCATGTTTTATGAACTCTTCTGCAAATGCTTCTAGGTTTCACTGCAAGAGGCATCACAGTGTCTGTCTGTCTGTCTTTCTTCCCAATTAAGCTCTTTTCTCAAATACAACAAGCAGTGAAGATGGCAAAGAGCAGCTGGCATATGAGTCTGGAGAGGATGAGGATGATGAAGAGGAGGAGGAAGAGGACTTCAAGCCTTCTGATGGGAGTGAAAATGAAATGGAGACAGAAATTCTGGACTATGTGTGAACTGAGTGAAGAGTCTGGCTGCTGCTGGGCAGAATCCACTCTGCTCTTGTTCCTTGGGAGCTGAGGGTTCAGCCACCATGCCCAGGATGTGGGAGAGCAGAATTTGGATTAAGATGACAGCAGTCTCTCTACACTGACTGCAGTGGCTGCTGCTGGCTGTCATTCTGGATGTTAGGGAGCCATTGCCTCCATTTTCATAATTGCTGGTTAATTAGTCCTCAAGAAGCTCCCAAGAAAGCGCCCAGAATCCAAACCAACTAGCAATACACCTGAAAAGAAGTTGCATTCCCCAGTCTCTGTATGTGTGAGAAGTGCACCTTGGCTGGGTTGGTTAATTAGCCCTCAAGCAGCCTCAAGAAGCTCCCAAGAAAGAGCCCAGAATCCAAACCAACTAGCAGTACACCTGAAAAGAAGTTGCATTCCCCAGTCTCTCTATGTGTGAGAAGTGCACCTTGGCTGGGTTGGTGGCCACGTGGAAAATGGAGAAGGAGCCTGGGGAGGTGCTGGGGGAGCACTCTAGTGCTGCTGGAGCCCCCAGGGCAGGTGCTGCCCTTCTGCTGCTCTAAGGGGAATGAAAATACAGTGCCCTGACTTCAGCATCGAGCCTCGTTGGCCATCTTGGCAATAAAGCCAGCAGGAAAACACATCTTCTGGCAGTGACTAATTCCCTTCTGTGGGATGTGGTGTATGTTGTCCTCACCAGCTGATGCACTTCTCAAGTCTATTTTGGCTTCCCCAGGAGTTAGGAAGGCCTGAAGGAAGCAGGCGACAGGACAGAGCTTCTGGCCCACAGAGGTTGGCCACTCATTAGTCTGCCATTGCTGGCTGGATTGTTAGCACCCTGTCACTCAAATTAAGGATCTGTGACATGTTCTGAGTCTTGTGCATTCCCTGGTGTGTTAGGAGTGCAAGGTTGCTTGTTAGTGGCTGATAATATGCCCTAATGCAGGGTTTAAAATTATTTCAGCCTCCTGCACTTGTGTGAGGCTTCAGCAGTTTTTTTTTTTATGTTCTCTGGAATTTTGTTAGACTGAGATCTTTCCTTAAGTTTGGCCTCCAGCCCACAAAGAAGCATCTGTCAGGCTGTCATACAACACTTAGCTGTGCTCCTGGGTAAGGTGCAGGTCCTGGCTACATGGGAATCCATGAGGGGCTGTGCTGTGTGTCTTACCCTTCTCTGCTGTGCAACAGGGTGCTAAAGAGGAGCAATGCAGTGGACATACCACTGCTGGGTAAGAATATGCACTCTGGTAGTAGGCAGAAAGAATAAACACCCTCAGAAGTGCTTAGAAAAACCTGAAGCCAAGCTCTCTGTCGACAAGGAGGCCCAAGGCCAAAGCAGCCTGAAATCACTTGTGCCAGAGTTCATTTGTTTCCCAGATGTTTTCAAAACTCCTCTGGTCTGGGAAGACTGCAGATTTGGATCTTTCCTTCTGCCCAAGCAGGTCATGGTGTTACCAGCCCTGTCTGTACAAGGAGCTCCTTTCATTGCCAAAAGCTCAGCGTTCAAACTAACCTACGTAGCCAAAGGCAGAGGGAAATTCTGGAGAGTGCAGCCCCATCTTGTAATTCTCACACTCAGAATCTCCACACCATCCAAGTAACCTCCACTGCTGCCTGCAATTGTAACATAGCAAATAAACATGCTGGCCCTGCTAGGCAGTGAGCCTTGGGTGCCAGGGGGAGGGCACCTCACGCCGAGGCAGATGCTGTCTCCACACCATAAGGACCAACCACTGCATTTGCTGTTCCAGCCATTGCTTCTATCAAAAGGGGTAAAAGCATTAAATCAGAGGTCAGCTGGGAAATGAAACAATCTCAACAACTGAATCTGAGTTCAAATGAACAGGGTTCATTTGGAAATCGGGCACCGGTTCCTCAAACAAAAAGCTGTGCCTGAGTTCAGACACAAACCAAAGCTCAACTCAGCAGAGGCAGCCAAGGTACAAACAACAGGCTCAGGTGCCACCTCTGCCACGGTCAGCTCCGCTCCTCTTTCTCCAGGAACGTGCCAGCATTTTGGGGAAGGAGGACAAGACAACCCCTGCCTTGGGGCAGAGACGTTTTGAGCATCAGTATTTTATTGCAAAGACTAATTACATTGCTGTGTACAAGTCACACCGGGCAGTGTGCTCCTTCACTGAAGTGGTACAAAATACGTATGGTACAGCCAGTCCCTCCGGTGACGCCGGC